TAGTGTTTATTTTGTCATCTTACTATTTCTACATATTTAATCCTGATTGCATAAACAATTATTCATCACATTAGTTTTTATCCAAACACCCTGTCTATTTTGTTATTTCTACATTTCTAACCCCTAATTGCACAATGTCAATCATCTTGGTTATTATGATGCTACTTTGTTTGTTTTATCCATCCCCCTGTTTATTATGGCATTCTAATTACCAATTTTAATTTTTATTTATTTGACCCTTGACCGGATATTATTCTGGAAATTTCCCATCCATTTGGTATAAATACACGAATGTACAGCCTAGATGATGACTTCTTCGAAAAGAAAATTTTCTTCGCTGCAATTGTCTTCCTATTTACCCCTATGACCCAATGTGTATATTCCGTGACTTAAAAAGAAACTTTGCGCGAACCTTGACTTCAAAAGTGACCTACTCAGTGATGTCTTTAACAGGAGAATTTCGTCTTCCCTAAGAAGGACTTTCTTAGCAGAAACGCTGAGAGTAGTGTTCCACAGTCACCCGCTGGTTTTCAAAGGCCATATGCAAAAGACCTCACGTTCGACCTCTTCTATGCGTGCATATAATAATTCAATTGTTTTTGTGAATATATATTGGTCGGCCGACGCATGTCCTATCTAAAGGCGTTGAAGAACACTATCCCGAATGGCTGCAAAAAAGGCAATGGTGGTTGTATAAGGGGTGTGATAATCGACGAACATATTGTCAACACTAGTTATTTCATCTCAATAAACGCCTCCTCCTTCAAAGTAATCTACATAAGGAATAATAACCTACCAAAGGCAATACACTTTCGTCTCTTTTGCATTGCTGAAGCCTTAGCCATTCATTAAGAAAAAGCCAGTATTATGTATACAAAAGAGAGAATTATTCAGTCGTTTCTACTATCTTGGTAAAAACCTTGTTTTTGATTGCTACTGACTTGATTTTCTTGCGTATGTTTTGTTTTTCTAACTTCATATAAATCATGTATTTCTTTAGAATGCTAACATAGTGCTATATAATTTCCTGTTTGTCTATGTACATCTTGATTACAACCCATTCGTTGAATTGTTCATCCTATTACGTAACTCTAATACACTTAGTCAACCCTACGCATGCACTGACTAATATTAGCAACTATTATTATGACGACAGCTCATCACAGCCTCTCTAAGGAGAAAAGTGTGTTTAAAGGAGACTGTACAGCTAAAGATAATGAATTCTTCAAAAGAGTGGGTACTGAACCAAGAGCACTCTTTTCGATAACTTCATCATTAGGCTGTACAGTTATAGATACATTATATTGAATATATATTGAACCACATTAATACTGCTTAAGTAACATTGAATCAATAATATTGATAGATTACAGCTCAATAGCATCTACATAAAATAAGCTGAATTTCAGAAAAATTAGGAAATATAATATTACAAATTCATGAATTTATAGTCTCTACTGAAGGCCAGCCAGGGAAGTAGTAGTAGTGACTGGACATGCTTATTTTCCGCACATAGCACTAGTTGTTTGAGGCGAATTGCAATAGCCTCTGCTGTTTGAAGCATGCGATGCTTCGATGATTCTGTCAATTTATTAGGCACCCGGTAGATTATAGAGAAGGATTCTTCAATGCTGGCTGGCTGGCTTTGTGGCCGGTTTGCACCAGATAGTTCAATATTGAACTGTTAATCGTTTTCCTTACACATTTACTTAGCCATAGTAGGAGATGCTCTCTAGAGAGCACGAAGAATCAAGTTCCTGGAGCAAAGGCCAATGTAACTCGCTTCATCACAAGCGCAGTCGAATTAGTAGATACAATTTGAATTGGCTATTCTAGGTACTTCATAACACTAATTCATTCATTCACTATAACGTATATATATATATATATATATATATATATATATATATATATATATATATATATATATATATATATATATAAGTGTAGAGCTTGATGATGAAGGGGTTATCGAAAAGAGTATTCTTTGTTCAGTATCTATTCTTTTGAAAAATTTTAATGGGCATTTTTAATCAGTGAAAATGAATTCGCTGAAAAAAATAGCCTCTTTGCTGAACTGCTTGCGTTGTTCTTGTTGATATCTGGAGGTGAGCTTCTAACATACCTTGACTTTGCTTATGATACTTTAAATTCGCCCATTTTTCATTATTGACTGACAACCGAAAGGACTTTCAGTAGCAGTGGATTCGATGCCTGGTTTCTGGCTAGGATGAAACAGCTGTCTAATTCTTTAGGACTTTTGATAGTCCTTTGAAACTTGAGTTATTTTTATGTTGGGATATAATGAATGAATTGACTAATTTTGTTTTACTCAGTCTCCTCTTTCCCTGTAGCCTTAAACACCTTAATGTTGACCTCATTGTGTAATAATTTTGTGCGTAATCCATCTTCATTTCTTTTGTTAAACTTTCAGTTGTTTTTAAAAAATATTTTTATGCATTTTTGGAACATCTCTTTTTTTAACTTCACATAGAGCTTCAAGCTAGTGGCTTGAAATTTCTGCAGCAGCGTTTATTTTACGGGATTGAATTGCTAGCCTCTTTACCAGAATTATTTCTGGTTCAGTAAAGTAAAGGAGTGTGGCGTCGTCCGCGGATCGAATCCCGGACCATATGCATGATCGGCGAGCATCCTAACCGCTATACCACCGACTCAACACCCGTTGTCATTTCATTCGCCTCCCAGATATCACATTGGATTGGATCCACAACTGTCTACATGTTTCGGTGCCCTCCTGACTACGTGATCTTCTCCACGTCATCCTTAGACAACTGTCATTCTCCATTTGGGTTCCAATTGAGAGTGTATGATACCACCATCGATGTTCCTTCAGAGTATGTTCCAGCCATCTTTGTTATTTTGCATATATATTTGGACAGTAAGATCTTGAATGACTCACTGCATGTCAGTATTCCTTGTTATTTGTGATTTCTGACGGCCTATCTGCTCTTCAGTGTAGTGCGACGTTCGCGACACTTGTATTCGACTCTCTTGTTGTGAAATAACCATTTGAGACGCTTTTTTGACACATGATTCCCATATTATCGTGACAGTTATCGTAGCTTATTCATTGTATTATATCATCAAGTTTGCCATACGTGTTAATCGATTGGTATGAACCTCTTTAACTTGCAGATCAATCAATACACTGTTGTCAAAAATTTCTGAAAGGTGAAGTTTGTAGACCATTTTAGTCACTGGAACCTGATCAAACGACGAATGAATTTCAACTTCTGCCTATTTTGTGATCGATATTTAGCTCAGCCACCTGCCAGTATCATAAGCGAGTAACCGTCCTCTTACCGGACTAAGTGAACCCTCACTAGAAATCCAGATAACCTCCAGTAGAGAACCAGCAACTAGTGAGCATCAGATTAATTAACAAGTATTGGTTTGGGAGAAGTTGGAATTCATGAGCTGTTGCATCGGGTCTCAGTGGCTGAATGGTCTACGAGCCCACCTCGTAACCGGTGGGTGCTGGGTTCGGATCCTAGTTGGTGTGTAGTTCTGAAGAGTACCAAACCAGGACGATGTAAATTCTTACTCATTATCTGACACAGGGCCTCAGCCGCACGTCTCCATTGCATTCGGTTCTATTCCGAAGTTTTCACCTGGGCTTCATATGTGCCCACATGATTTCATCTCCTACATGTCATCCTCGCACTGACGATCAACTCGCCGCTTCCTGCTCGGGTTCTGCTCGAGAGATGACCTGGTGTGTGATGCCACTTGATGGTGGTTTGTTTTCTCGGAGTGTGGCCAGTCCACATCCATTTCTTCCTGCATATTTGTTGCACAATCGGTTCCTACTGGGTTGTTTCTTTCATTCCTGGAGACCCCTGTTCCTGATCTTCTCTGGCCCGTCAACTCACCTTCAGTAGTATTGAGCGAAGACAGCTGTTAATGAAGATCTGTAGTGTTTTCGAAGTGCTCTTCATGACGCGTTAAGTCTCTGATGCGCATAGCAAGTTGCTTTGACTTCAAGTTGGAGTTGAAAATCTGGATCTTGTCTTTCATGTCGAGTAGTGCTGTTGTTCTCCTTCACACAGCTTGACTTGCTTTCCCGATCCTCGCTTTGATCACATCCTCATCAGTTCCGTCTGCCTGTAGTTGAAACGATGCTTCTCAAGTAGGTCGGTCGATAGGAAAAGGAGGTTGCTACTTTCCTATTTCTCCCATTTCTGTTGATTGCTGTCTGTTGTTGTTGTTGCTGTTGGTCAGGTGATGAAAAACCAATAGATTTCAAACATCTGTATCATTTTCAATCAAACATTTTTGATTGTTGGTAAATAGGTGTACTACTACTGATTGATAATGAGTAGTAAGAAACTGATCATATTAACCAATAGTGGATTTTGATAATTAGATTATGAAATATAATCTAAACACTGGGTCAAGATAGTTGCTTCTCTCAATTTCCATGCTGGATTAATCATCACTTTATCCAATTAGATTCAACTCAAAGGGAGGGCTGAATGACACTTTAGGCAAAATATAATAATTGGAAGAAAATGGTCATTTACTTATTATAAATAAAAACAAAGTTCGAGGTAAATTTTCATAATGAATATGCCTAATAATAATAATATTGGCTTATACTTTTATATATGGTAATTTTTGTTTGTATGTACATATATACAGATAGATGCACCTACACAGACAAACCTATAAATGATTGAGTATATATGTGTGTATATTTCGAATAGTCTGCGTAGGGGTACATATGTCAGACATTGTCAATGAATGTATTTTATACAGTGTAAGTCTTTACTTCATTACACACACCCACACATTGGCCGACATACATACACCCACACGTAAATGCACACACATACGCACGTGTACAGACACTAAATACATACCCTTAGGGTGAACAGAAAAAAAAATGGTTTTTTATTTAGTTTTTTTTGTTATTTTTGAATACAGAAAGAGTTTCGTACAATCAGAATTTTGTTTATCATATAGGGTAGAAATTCTTTCACACAAAAGACTACTAATTGCATCACTATTTATACTAATATGGCTAAAATAGAGGCTGTAATTATTATTATTATTACTGTTATTATGAAGGGTTAACTCATTTCTATAATAATAAAACATCAGGGAGTATTATATACTTAGAGAGAACTGGGGAGTGAAATGAACATAGACACTGACGTAGACTCACATGAACGTGCACACACTCACAAGCATACAGACACGCACATACACACATACGCACCGGCTACTATAATCTCAACTAGACAGCATAATACACTCGACATAATTCAGAGTTGAGTAGTCTTCAAATAGAAAAGATAAGAAAGAAAGAGGAGAAAGAAAGAAAAAAAATGAAGGGACATTGAATATTGAATATCTTCAATGATTTTTGTTTAAATTGAACAAAATACTACGACAAATTTTGAATAATTATATACATATATACGTATATTATAGATATTATCAAAGGGATTTGTAATGTCAAAGGATAATGTATCAGAACTAATTCAAAAGAATTCTTCATCTAGCCGAAACTCATCTCAACTACCACATACTGAGAATCATCAACGTAAACATCAACAACACCAACACCAGCAAAACCAACAACATTCACAAAATTTTGGATTAACTCATTTCACTTCAATGACAAATAAAAAATTCTTATTTCGTAGTCATAGAACACTGAGTACATGTTTACCAGATGAAATGCCATCAAAATCTTTGAATACTACACATAATTCCTTGGATATACACTGTTCAAATGATGACAATCATATAAAAACAATTAAACCTCGTGTTCTAATGTCACAATCATCATTTGAACTGATTACAGATAAAAGTATTCATAATGTTGATGAAGTTTCCGAGAAAAAACAAGACGAAATTCATTGGGATTATTCTTCTTCATATTGTAGTGGAAATATTAATGTTACTAGTGCATTGAATACTAGCCCTATTAATATATCACCTAGTGATTATAATTCAAGTACAAGTAGTAGGAATATTTTAAGACGCCAACATCAACAACAAGAACAACAGTGTACAGTTGAAACATCACCTCCTCTGCATACCTCGTCATCAATTTCAAATGAGTAAGTCAAATTATTTATTGATTTAAATGGGTTTCTTCCTCTTCCTTTTTGATTGATTTTTTCATATTGGGTCAAAATACTTGCTTGATGTTGATATAATGACCTCCAGTTTCGATCAAGGGTGAGGGCTGCTGAAAAACCCCAAAATTCTGTCCAAAACAACTGATAAGGAATGACCTACTTCTATGGTGCTTAAGTTTTAAACATATACTAAAGATTTACTCAAATGAGATACTTTATATATGTTCAAATCAAAGTTTACTTTTAACGGTTTGAAAAAATTTAGGCATTGGGTATATGGTATTTATTATAATAAAGGTTTTCTTTGTATTTCCCAATGAATGAAAAACAAAACGATATCGCTGTTTTTACTGACGTTTCGTTATTTAATGTTGATACTGATAGCTTTATCAAAGTAGTACTGTTAAACCAGAATTTACAAAATCCACTCAGCATATATGTAACAAAGAGTTAAGAAGTGAGAAAATGGACAAGTTAGGTAAAGTTAAAGGGACATGTTGAGAGTGAAAATAACAATGAAGATCACTCAACCAAATAACAAGGGAAAAAGTGCATCTGCTATGGTATCAAAACAAAGTTTACTAACTTGATCATCATTCGTCTGTCTGGGGTCAAGTTGGTCAATTGGTAAAGATGAAAAAACCGGGAGGGGTAGATTGTTGGATTTTATCAGTGTGTAACATTATAAAAGCAGTGTGTGCTTACATAGTGAACTTACTTATCACATTCGTGTTGATTTTGTCACTTCATGGGGAAGGGAGGTGTTGTAACCATGTTAAATTCTGTTTTAATCCATCATTCCTTTTCAGCTCAGGCAATTTGGATTCCACTTGATATGAAGTGCTTCTGATGATATTAGACATTCTTTGTGATTTCTGAAATGCTTTTTCTAGATTATTTCAATATTGTCAAAATCAATTTTGTGGCCTTATTCTAAAGCATGTAGACCTATGGCTGGGTTATGATTTTTCAAGTTTTTCTAGTTCACTAACTGGATTTCTTGTTGGTCGAAGAGATTCCGGTTTAATAATACTTTAATAAAGCTATTAGTATTAAATAGTGAACGTCAGTAAAAACAATATCGTTTTGTTTTTCATTCATTGGGAAATACAAAAAACCTTTATTATAATGAATGAGATACTTTGTTAAGCAGAATAGTTTCATTTACGAATCTCTGTCAGAATTTATATCGTATTGTGTTGCGTCGAAACTGAGTACGTGTATATTTCAATAGAAGGCATAAATTACATTACAAAAGAGTGCGAAATGATAAGATTTCGACAGCGCGAACACTAGGGACTAAACTTATATTGCTGATTACACCTTAGTGACCAATGAACATGACGTCAGTTCTCAAGTCACTCAACAGTAACGACTTTGATGGCACCAGCGACTGAAAACAGTCTGAATATATCAGAGGGGGCATGAGTCCCCCCCACTGTTTCAGATATCTTTTGGCGATACGTACGAATCAATAGTTGTGAAACATAGGCCACTTACGGCTTCCTATCAATCACCTCTAACCTCCTAGCATTTATTCAAAAAGTGTCCCGCAATAACGAATCTCTTGGACTGGTAACCTCATTACACACCCACTAACACAGAGAACTAGACATATGATTCTGGTTTACTGTAAAGTTATAAATTAGTAAAACAGCACAGGATTTTATCCCGTTGAGATGAGATTTTTCCTAGGGAAATATTTATTCGTTCGTAGTTCTTTTTAATGATATAATCAGTTAGTACTAGGCATTGTTTTATTTCGCCTGTTCTCTTCAGCTGCACACAACCTGAAATAATTTAATACTGAGAAAATATTCATTCAGACATCTAGAAAAACACTAAATAATTGAGCAAAGAATATCCTTTCCGATAATTTCCTCTTCCCGCTCTAGAATTAGATATATACATATGCTTATATTCATAGAATATTCTAGAATTGTAGTCAATATCAATATTGATGTTTTTTAAAAAATATCGATTCACCACGTAAGATCAATGGAAATACCACAGTTCCGAAATATGCATAAATCATAGTAAACATAAAAATGTAATATCAAATAGAATATCAATTAAAAGTAAGGAAACTTCCACAACAAATTGAAGATCATTCGAACCTAGATGGCCAGCGGGGTAAAAACAATGTCTGAACCAACCAGCTTCTTTTGGACACATAAGTTAGGTTTCTTAATGTGGTTCCTGACAGTCAGCCTCAGCAATATTTAGTAGTCGAACTCTTAAGGCAAAGTTAAGATTAGTTGGTATGCCATGCATGACTTTGAAAGCTGCCTTGTTGACATCAATTTTGTGTTAAATTGGTAGATAAACATAGAAGAGGAGAAATTAGACAGTTTTTTCTTTTACTCCAGAACGCAAAATAGGGTTGGGTGGTTTTGAAGACACAGCGTAATTCAGCAGCATTCAATGCAAAGCATTCCTAAGGTGTTGCGTTAGTATATCGCTGATATTATCCCCGAGGGACTGAATTTAATACTAATTACGGCTCTGTTTAAAACAATGTAAATAGCACATCGTACATAATTATCAGCGTATTTAAATTGTGGGGTAGTATTTACTCTTCACTCTGGATCTTCAAATGAAATAGTATTCATCAGGTCATCGTATGACCTTGTATTGTTCCATCAGAAGCAATATTCAGTCCTCCCCTTCAGTTCCTTTGCAAAGTACTCTGCACTACGTTGACAGTAGACTAGCGCAATTCGATGAATAGAGAAGATTGTATGCATAATGCTAGACGGAAATTTAACCAACCCAATGATTCATTTAAACATGCCGCCTGTTAGTTAACTAACTGAATACAAGTACTGCTGTACTCTCCCCACTTCTCTTTTCTTTCTTTCTACATGAATTACCGTCTTCAGATGACAGTAATTTTGCTAAATATGCTGACGGCTTGACTGTATCTTTGTCTATCAAGTGTCAAAGCGACTGCTTTTTATCAGAAATCAGCCAGTGGTCCAAGGAAAACGGTCTAACCTTAAACCCCTCCAAATGCCAAACAGTCAATTTCACCTTTAGGCACAAGTCTGACCTAAACAAACTGGTTAGCACTCATTAGGTGTGCAACACAGATGGCACTGAAATAGAAACCAAGTCAGAAATTAAATATCCAGAGTGTCATTCTATCTGTTGATCTTTCCTGATCGTCTCATATCTTGATAATTTCTAAGAAAATATTCCGGCTTACCTTCTACGTCAAAAAGTTAAGACATTCTGGAATAACCCAACCCTGACTCCTTCGATTCGTTAACTGTTGCATCCCGCCTGTTATTCTCTATTGTTCCCCCTTAGTTTTTCCAGGGCTACTGAAGAAGGAGTACATCTTATTACGTAGGCTCTTAAAGGTTGTCAGCAGGGTAAGCTACGTGCCACTTAACCAGCTTGTTAACATTCTGGTTGACAGGCACATGGACTCATGTGAAAAATGGGTTAAACCCATTATATCTATCTAACTCACACCATCCTCTTCACTCACGACTCTCCCCTCGTATCTCATCAGGCAGGCAGACCAGAAGCCTATATAGAAAACTATAAGCTCGCACTAGCAAGTACAAAAACTCAACCATACCCTACCTAGCTCGTGCTCTGTGCCATAAAGAAAGCATTAGGCGTGATACCTATATCTTATTAAATAGTCAGTAGAACAACTGGGTCTCGTCTTTCCAACTCATACCATTTATAAGTAGAACTTTTGGTTTCTTTCCCTTCCTTTTTTGTTGTTCTGTGCTGTTTTGTTTCTCTATTCCTTACACACTCTTTTAAAACATTCTTCTTCGTTCTTTCAAACTTTGTTTATCTCGACCTTTTTGTTACCACTTACGGCAGTAAATATGCTAGTATCTACTTTTCTAACACCTTCAAACATTCTGTTCACTTTTATCTTTGCTACCGATATGCTAATATGTTGTTGTCAAAACTAACTGAGATTACCCATAATCTATGTAGAATTTTATTTATTGTTAATGTACAAACTGGATGCAATACTGTAGTGAAATGCTGTGAATTTCATTCTGTATTACAAGTACTGTTTTGGAATAAAGCAGGTTATTATTATTATTGTTATTACTATTATGTAAGAGACAAATAACTCAGTTGAACAGAGGTCAAAAACAAAACCATATCAGGAGTATAGATAAAAATGAAATTCAGAGGGTAAAATCACTTTTCATGACACTGTATGCATTTGCTTTCAACCGAAATGCTCGATTTTCGTTGACATGTTGCCAGCTTTATAAGAACTGTTTGTGACGAAATCTGAGCACTAATGTGATGTTATTTTGGTTGGTAGTGACTATCACTTCCTCGCCATTTGAGACTCGTCAGCCGAATGTATCTGCATCTCCCCTCCCTCTAGGCTATCGTAGGTTTACAGGTAAATCGAGATGACGGGTCAAAAAATAGGACGAGATGTGCACTCTAGATTCGAATGGTAGTCATCATCAACCCAAATAAAGTGATTGTAGTTGACAAAAGTCAACAAAATTAAATGTGCTCATATGATGCTGCCGCTGAATTTGAAGTTCTTTGTTTGTTCGGCTTTGTCTGCGATACAAGTTCTATGAAGAAAGAATTTAGTGATGAAAAATGAATGTAATGGGTTAGAAGTGGTAGCAAAAAAATAGATATGGATAGTGGTTCCACGAAGTCGTATTGATATATATTTATTAAGACAAAAGTTTCAACGAGTAAAGCTTCTCATTGAGATGATTTCATTTTCATAACTAGATATGATAGAGAAGATCTGTAGCTCAGGTGGATGATTTTGATGTGGCTGTGTTCTCTCAGCTAGTTGGATGGTTAATTTGCGAAGCTTTCATCACTCTACTGGGTGACATCTTCAGCGCATACTTCAATCTGTCGAAGTGAGCTTTGAGATTTCTCCACGAGTTTATTAATCATCTCTCCTGGTCGGTGATCTTGGAAGTGATTGGTTGTTTTTATGTGTTTTCACACCTTCT